ATCCGAAAGAGATGCGAATTGTAAAATATATACTATTGCTGAGGATCTGTCATGTTTTAGATTTATAAATTAAAGACTGCAAAACGTGAGTGCGTGTGTGTATGTGTTTAATCGGCTTGTAAAATGTACGTTAATTTCATAATTTCATGTAAACTAGATGATGAAAAGTGAAGAAAAAATATTTAGTTAAAAATTTTAAAACAACAAAAAGTGCCAAAAATAGCCCCGTAAATGTAACACGAATCAATAATTTAAAACACAAACGATTTTTTTCAGTCCACACACTGCGTTAAGACATTAACTTTTTTCCCATCGATATTTATAAAGCAGGACAGGTTGTGAATGCGATTACTATAGTGAAGAAAACCGATCCTATACTGTCATACAGGGGTCGATGTCACAACCCAATTTTCTAGACATTCACGAGAGTTCCCTGAAGCATATTATCTCCCTCCCCCACCAGGAACAAATATTTGTAAAATATTTTACAGGGCAATTATAAATTACCTATTGATCCTAACCTCAAACCAACGAAACAAACCAGATAAGTTGATACCAGAGGGTTGATGGTTGAAGAAGATTTTAAACACCAAACACCAAACACCACACATTCTAGTTAGGACTCTCATGCCAGGGTTTAACGACTGTCCATTAGTTGGGACATGGCTAGGGGCTAATGACTGTCGGGGCATGGACCAGGGCTAACGACTGTCCATTAGTTGGGACATGGCTAGGGGCTAACGACTGTCGGGGCATGGACCAGGGACTAACGACTGTCCATTAGCTGGGACATGGCTAGGGGCTAATGACTGTCGGGGCATGGACCAGGGCTAACGACTGTCCATTAGTTGGGACATGGCTAGGGGCTAATGACTGTCGGGGCATGGACCAGGGCTAACGACTGTCCATTAGGGGACATGGCTAGGGGCTAATGACTGTCGGGGCATGGACCAGGGCTAACGACTGTCCATTAGTTGGGACATGGCTAGGGGCTAACGACTGTCGGGGCATGGACCAGGGACTAACGACTGTCCATAAGCCGGGGCATGGACCAGGGCTAACGACTGTCGAGGTATGGACCAGGGCTAACGACTGTCGGGGCATGGACCAGGGCTAACGACTGTCGGGGCATGGACCAGGGCTAACGACTGTCCATTAGCTGGGGCATAGACCAGGGGCTAACGACTGTCCATTAGTTGGGACATGGCTTAGGGGCTAACGACTGTCCATTAGTTGGGGCATGGCTTAGGGGCTAACGACTGTCGGGGCATGGTCAAGAGGCTAACGACTGTCCATTATCCGTGACATGGACGAGGGGCTTGCGACTGTTTGAGAAGCGATGTGCGCATGATTTTTCTTTCTAAATCGATTTAAATGGATGTTAAAGATAATCTAGTCTTATCCGTGAACAAAGAAGATAACGAACAAGATAGCAAGATAGTCTGATCAATTATTTCTTAACGCGGCATTAGATCACAAAGAATATATTTTACACACACTGTGAGAGTACAATCAACGCAGTGGGTCTGTATTTAATAACATCACTATTGACTTATTAATGCCTAACAGTAATTACGTAATTAGTTTATCCCGTAAAACTTTAAAAAATAGGCCTAAACATGTAGGATTAAAAAATAATTTCCGCGGTTTAAGCCAACGATCAATAAAAGCCAAAGATCAATAAAATTCCATCTTCTTTTCCTTTCCTTCGCGATGCCAACCGAAGCCACTGTGGATGAATGGCTAATAAAACAATCAGACTAACTCCCCTGATGCTACAGGTAGAGCTAATCGATACAAACCTATGGTAAACCAAGGGAGATGATTAACAATAATTGGTGGGTGCTAGGGAACAGGGGAGGCTACCACATTATGTTCAATAATGTTAGAGAAATGGTGAGGATAACGAAATACTGCTTCTTACCTTTATGTAACTATATATATATATATATATATATATATATATATATATATATATATATATATATATATATATATAAATATTTGTGTGTGTGTGTGTGTGTATATGTATGTATGTGTGGGAGTGTACGGTCTAACTACAAAACCGCGAAGTCCTACAGCTATTTCTTATATTTAATATATTGAATTTGCATTTCAAATATTATGAAGCTACTAATATATTTTTGTTAAAACAAAATAAATTTTTAAACGTATGTATTTTCGCTTAAAAACCTGTAACGTTAACTCTTGTTGCATTCTAAGGGCAGCCATCTTTGAATGTATTACAGCCCGCGGTTATTTCAATACGCCCCATTAAATCTCAAACAGGTATATCGATCTCTATCCCCTTCCCCCACCACGACCACTCTGTTGCAGCATGGAACACGTGACCTTAATGTCAAGACGCTGGGCACCCTCATTAAATTCTCATTATAGAAATTATACCATATCGAGTTGAAGGTTTAAAATAACATCTGCAGCCAACCCCCCCCCCCTCCCCCATCTTTCATACATACAACATACGCTCTTTACCGTAGATGTTTTTTAAATCTTCTGCTGAAGACGATTATAGCTTGTCACGTGACCAGTTAGACTGTCGATTGACGGTGAGTAAAAGGTATCGATCGTCTCTCGACCTGATGCACGTGCCGACTTCTTCCTGCGGCGTACGGGATTGATTCATGCTAGCGTGGTATAGGGGAGGTGGTATAACAGTTGTGGTACAACAGTTGTGGTACAACAGTTGTGGTACAACAGTTGTGGTACAGTGGTTGTGGTACAACAGTTGTGGTACAGTGGTTGTGGTACAACAGTTGTGGTACAACAGTTGTGGTACAGTGGTTGTGGTACAATAGTTGTGGTACAACAGTTGTAGTACAATAGTAGTGGTACAACAGTTGTGGTACAACAGTAGTGGTACAACAGTAGTGGTACAACGTTAGTGGTACAACAGTAGTTGTACAACAGTAGTGGTACAACAGTAGTGGTACAACGTTAGTGGTACAACAGTAGTGATACAGCAGGATTGGTACAACAGTAGTGGTACAACAGTAGTGGTACAACAGTAGTGGTACAACAGTAGTGGTACAACGTTAGTGGTACAATGTTAGTGGTACAGCAGTAGTGATACAACGTTAGTGGTACAACAGTAGTAGTACAACAGTAGTGGTACAACGTTAGTGGTACAACAGTAGTGGTACAACAGTAGTGGTACAACAGTAGTGGTACAACAGTCGTGGTACATTATTAGTGGTATAACATTAGTGCAACAGCAGTCGTGGTACAGTGGCAGTGGTACAGTGGTAAAAATTTTCCCCAAAGATTACGTCTATTAAAGCTGACCAGATATAAGACAATTTATTACTTTTCTTTTTTTTTTAAATATTCTAGGCCCTTCGAGTAGTCGCCGCAACTTTCGCTTTACTCAAAACGTTTTCCGTTACAATTCAGTTTAAAAAAAAAATTAAGGTGGTATAAAATTGAAGTTCTATTCGAATACAAAACTGTTCAAATACCTACTTAACCAATCCTGTTTCACTTTATACAAAACTACCCAGCTGTTCGAGGAAAAAAAAGAAACTGTTAAAAGATCTCCACCAGCCCCACCCTCATTCACCACTAGATGACGTCACATACCCTCTAAGAAACCGTCTAAATGATTCATAATTTAATTACTCTAAGCTTAGGATGTGCGTGGAGGGGAGGGTTGGGTGAAGCCGGTAGATGTCGTACTAAATCAATAATCTCAAGGCTATAGTTTAGGGTTCAAGTTTAAACTTTACTCATATCTAGCTCACCCTAATCTACAGCTTCTAAACCTTAATGTTCAAACTTGACCCATGTACAAGGCTAGCCCACCCTGACCTACAGATCCTAAACCTTAAACCTGTAGGTTTAATGTTCAAACTTGACCCATGTACAAGGCTAGCCCACCCTGACCTACAGATCCTAAACCTTAAACCTGTAGGTTTAATGTTCAAACTTGACCCATGTACAAGGCTAGCCCACCCTGACCTACAGATCCTAAACCTTAAACCTGTAGGTTTAATGTTCAAACTTGACCCATCTACAAGACTAGCCCACCCTGACCTACAGATCGTAAAACTACGGTATAAGTCAACTGTTGAATCCTTACTCACGCCCCTGGTTTAAAAATACACCACATACAAAGGTGATAACATTCCAAACAAAACCATTCGATTACTTTACCCGGAGAAAAAATATTCTACAGACAGGTTCGACAACTGATTATCTACGTTTGTCATCGTTAAAAAACAAAATCACATATTGTCAGCTGATGCATTTAAATTCTCTAAGCCAAATGTTATATTTTGATCGAGATTTTTGAGCCCAAAGCTCAGGAACAAACTGGGAGTGAAGATCTCACAGCCAAATTTCCAGTTGGATTGTGATTTTGGCTTCGAGGATCATATTTCAGGCACTGAGTTTCGAATTCAGAACTATCGGGTTAGGGGTCGTCCATAAATGACGTCACAATCGTAGGGGGAGGGTGGGGGGCCGTAATTTTGTGACGGTATATGATGAGGGGGTGGGGGGCAGATAGTGCGACGTCACACTTTTGCATTATAAAAAAGCAATGTTAGAAAACGAATTTTAGCCCTTATTTCGCGTTTTAGTAAACTGTTTTAATAAATTGTAAAAGAAATTGATTAAAAAACTCTATGTTGACAAAGATTTTGAAAAAATACAGATTTTTTAAGAAAAATTCGACGGCAATTTTGAGGGGGGGGGGGGGGTTGTAGGCTGAGGTGTGTCGTCATTTTAGGGGGGTGGGTTGGCTTTTTGTGACGATGTTTGACGCAGGGGGGGGGGAGGTAAAAATCGTCAAAAAAGCGCGACGTCATTAATGGATGACCCCTTAGCAATACCCCACCATATCATAAGTGAAAACTCACGGGGTTATTAAAGTCGACTTTGGTGTTTGTGATGACGTATGGTGTGTTAGTGGTGTTGTTTTGACGTCAGTGAGTTGTGTTAATAATAATCATTACGTCACCCCCCCCCCCCCCTCTCCACAGCTGATTGGAGCAGTAGTGGGAGCCGGAATCCTGATGGGCGTCACACCGGAAGCTCACCACGGCAATCTCGGGATGACCTTGGTCAGCAACAAAATTACAGTGGGTCAAGGTCAGTCAAAAAATGTAAACTTTATAATCAACCAATCAGCAAGTATTGTTATAAAACATAATTATAAAAAATAGAAAGCTCATAAAATAGCTTTGATTCAATTATCCGCGAGCAAAAAGTTGAAGCACGCCTTACAAAGCAAAGCCAAACTCCTATGTATAATTAGTTTAACTATGACAGAATATTTTCTTAAAACAGTTCTGTATATATGTTGTTGGCGTTTCAGCTGTTTGTGACCTTTTGTTGTTTCTATCTGCAGCTATTGGCGTGGAGCTGTTTGTGACCTTTTGTTGTTTCTATCTGCAGCCATTGGCGTGGAGCTGTTTGTGACCTTTTGTTGTTTCTATCTGCAGCTATTGGCGTGGAGCTGTTTGTGACCTTTTGTTGTTTCTATCTGCAGCCATTGGCGTGGAGCTGTTTGTGACCTTTTGTTGTTTCTATCTGCAGCCATTGGCGTGGAGCTGTTTGTGACCTTTTGTTGTTTCTATCTGCAGCCATTGGCGTGGAGCTGTTTGTGACCTTTTGTTGTTTCTATCTGCAGCCATTGGCGTGGAGCTGTTTGTGACCTTTTGTTGTTTCTATCTGCAGCTATTGGCGTGGAGCTGTTTGTGACCTTTTGTTGTTTCTATGGTGACCCTTTGTTGTTTCTATCTGCAGCAATTGGCGTGGAGCTGTTTGTGACCTTTTGTTGTTTCTATCTGCAGCTATTGGCGTGGAGCTGTTTGTGACCTTTTGTTGTTTCTATCTGCAGCCATTGGCGTGGAGCTGTTTGTGACCTTTTGTTGTTTCTATTGTGACCTTTTGTTGTTTCTTTCTGCAGCCATTGGCGTGGAGCTGTTTGTGACCTTTGTTGTTTCTATCTGCAGCCATTGGCGTGGAGCTGTTTGTGACCTTTTGTTGTTTCTATCTGCAGCCATTGGCGTGGAGCTGTTTGTGACCTTTTGTTGTTTCTATCTACAGCCATTGGCGTGGAGCTGTTTGTGACCTTTTTTTGTTTCTATTGTGACCTTTTGTTGTTTCTATCTACAGCCATTGGCGTGGAGCTGTTTGTGACCTTTTTTTGTTTCTATTGTGACCTTTTGTTGTTTCTATCTACAGCCATTGGCGTGGAGCTGTTTGTGACCTTTTTTTGTTTCTATTGTGACCTTTTGTTGTTTCTATCTGCAGCCATTGGCGTGGAGCTGTTTGTGACCTTTGTCCTGGTCTTCACCGTCTTCGCCTCGTGTGACAGCAAGAGAAAGGACCTCAACGGATCGGCGCCACTGACCATTGGTCTTTCGGTCACCATGTGCCACCTCTGGGCGGTAAGATTCAGCCCCACCCCCACGGCATGTGCCACCTCTGGGCGGTAAGACCCGGCCCCCACCCCTCCACCACTCTACGCAACACTACCAGCATGTACCATCTATGGGGGGTAAGACACCCCACCTCCCACCCCACAGCGTGTCTTTTATGAGCGCTAAGACTCGACCACCACCCCCCTGCACCACTCTACCCAACACTACCAACATGTACCATCTACGAGCGGTATGACACCCCCCACCCTCCACACCACGAACATGTGCCATCTCTGGGCGGTAAGACTCACCCCCACCCCCACCCCCACGGCATGTGCCACCTCTGGGCGGTAATATTCACCCCCACCCCACACCAAGACGCTTCCTCCCCATCACAGCATGTCTTCTATGAGCGCTAAGACTCAACCCCCACCCCCCCACCACTCTACCCAACACTACCAACATGTGCCATCTATGGGCGTTAAGACTCACCCCCACCCCACACCAAGACGCACCCTCACCGTCACAACATGCACCATCTATGGGCGGTAAGACTCACACCCCTCACCGCCTCCCCCTCCACACCACGAACATGTGCCATCTGTGTCTGGTAAGACTCGACCCCTCCCTCCCTCCGTAGCCAGCTACACGGTACACATTTTGCCTGTCACGTGATCCATATATTGATTGTATGAAAGTAAACAAAACACAAATAAGGCATTTCAAGTCTTCTATATCTGCAACTGAACAAGAGCAGTAGAAACTTTGTGCTGCCACTACCGACACATCTCCTCTAAACCTAACACTAACTCTTGGCAATATTTGGAATGTATGTTTACTAATATGACAGGCAGTTGCGAACACACTATGGGGCAGGGGCCTAGTACATACTGAGTTGTCTAGTTCTGCCCGTTATAATGAGAATATATATAATATTTACGTTTACCGGTGTCCGCTTAACACCCCCCCCCCCCTCCCCCACTACTTTCTCGGAAGAAAAAATTCTGAAAAAAAATCACTGATTAAGTTGAATGCAGTAATATTACTGATATCAGTTTGGTACGCCCTTGCGGTTAAATGTAACAATTAATTTATCGTAGATGCATATGTACACATTTGTGAGTAATATTAATCGATAACGACCTTAAATAATGATTGATTCTGTTTTCCCCAACAGATTGACTACACTGGGTCAAGCATGAACACTGCTCGCAGTTTTGGACCCGCCCTCGTTATGGGAACGTGGGAAAACCATTGGGTAAGTAACAAACGCTTATCTATAAATAAAACCACCTCTTTTCCAAGCCAATAGGCCTAGCATAGATTGCACTTTTATAAAACAAGGGAACTAACTCAAAAATTTGTCAGCAGCTTTATTTGTCCTGTGCTTTCCCTTTCCTCTGTGACGGGGCATACCCAGGGGACTGAATATTTGCTTCATTGTGTTTGTTTTTTACATTTATCATTTTATAATTATAATATTCAGAAGTTGTAATTAATGTTTGTTTCGGTTATGTTTTTTTTTTGTCTTCATTCATTTGCATTTATCACACGCCAGGTATACTGGGTAGGCCCCATCTTTGGAGGCGTCCTCGCAGCTGTCGTTTATGAGTACTTCCCTAATTTGTTTAATAGATGTACGTACTGACAGTAGATGTCTGCTCGTTGCCTCCATATTTGCCTTGAAAATTTATTTTTCCCACGGCATTCTCTTTCTCCGCATGAAGTTCCTACTGTGCAGAGGTCATTTCTGGTTGTCTAACTAAGCAAAGCTAGCAAGTTTAGCGCTTCAAACTTTATGAATATAGATCTAGAATCTAGAGCTAGACTTAGAATCTAGATCTAGAATCAAGTCTAAATCTAGATATTACAATCTAGCCTAGATCAGGTAGAATCTAGATTCTCTAGATCTGATACGATAAACAGTTTTAACTAATTCAGTTTAACCCAATCTGCCTTAAATAATTGTGTATAATTTTCTAAAATAGTGTCGATATTACCATTAGAATCTAATTCTAGATCTAGCCTAGATCTATCTGTATTGCTGCTAATTTGTTTGTAATGTAAATAGTGTGATTGATTGTAATAATTAACAGAATGATCATATGATTATAGATACCGATTCCGAACATAGACTCTTCCATAAAATAGGAGTGTTGGGTTGTATTGTAATCTCAACTAATTTTATGGTTAGAAATTAGGGTTCGACGTATGGTAGGACTAGGGTTGGAGTTAGGGTTAGGTACAGGGTACAGGTACGAAAATTTACAGTGGATATTATTAGTACTAGACCAGCAAACAGTTAACAGATCAAGGAGCTTAAACATTTTGACATTTATGGTTATTGGTTATATCCCCTTATGCAAGATAAACAACTAATATTAAAAAGGGGAGGGGGGGGGGATTTGGGTGGTGCCATGGTAGTCCTTAGTGTTATATTACAGTTATATAATTTGACAGTGGGTGACCCTTTGGGATGATGCATGATCCTGAATAGGGGAGGGGCTCAAATAGTGTAAGATCATTTATGGACAACTCCGTAAAATATGTAATTGACTTGGAATAGGACACGTTTTGCATGTTTCTTATTCCGAATTCCGAGTAGCTTTAAAACAAAATGTGTGTTTTATAAGGATTTAAACATTTACTACTCTAACAGTTTAGATAATGAATTGATAAATTTTGCAATTGTAAAAAAAAAATTGCCCATAGTTTTGGAGATTTTTTAATGCTGTGATTTAGGCCTTCAGTTGAATTAGCTAGATCTTAATTCAATATGGGACATACATGTTAGCTTGTTTCATCTAAATTTTTAACAATACTTACATCAATCTGAGATAAAGATGTTAAAAAAAACTTAATCAAAGTTTCTAATCTCAGAATTCTAATAATTGCCCATAGTTTTGGCTCTTTAATGTGGAGGAAACTTAGAGATGGAACTGAGCTGACCCGATTTATTCAATTAATCACCAAAAAAATGTAACTACTCAAAAAATCTACTTAAAAATCTACTTTAAAAATCTACTTCCAAACCAACATTTTAAAAACATAAAGTATTATAAAAGGGTAGTCACTTGATAAAGTATTGCAGCCACTAACATTAATAGCCTAACAAAAAAAAATGTAGCCTATAAAAGTATAAAACAACGTGTTTAAACTCCAGCTATAATTCCAGTTTTCAAATATAAATTTTTGTTTGTGGGTATGGCTTCATGATAGAATGAAAAAGCTAAACAGTTGCCAACTTTGTATTATAAATGCACCACGCCTATTGTTAATTAAACAGTATACTTAGTGTTAGAGCTTCTGTATGAAACACTTGAGGGACTTTCAAACCCTATTATAATGATAATAATTACAACTGCTGTACAATTATTGGGTCATAATAACTTTAAATTGGCAGTTCGAATGTAGAGTCAGACTGGGTTTTAGGTTAAATGTATGTTACAGTAAAACTGTTGACAATGTATCACTTAAGTCTTATACAAACTTAAGCTTTTTGGCTAGAGCAAGCAGAAAGTAGAAGCATGGCTTTCAGAAGTGGCAAGCTAATTAACAACAATTTTAATATTAACCAAATAGGCCTAGTAAATATTTTTTTAAACACTAACAATTTTATTAGAACTTATGAACTATTTAGTTGAACTAACAGAACCTTTAAAAACTAATAATCTCTGCCCTTCATAGAGCTTTCATTAGCTTCAACTATTTAAACAGTGCTTACTCAGTTTTAAGAACTCTTTTTACTACTAACACTGCATTAATTTATGTTGATCTAAATCATAACAGTTCTTAATTTTTTAAGTTAAAAAACTAACCAACTTGTTGCAGTTTCAGGATTTTTTATCATATAAAACTTGTATCCACTATAGTTATGGTAACCCAGTTGTGATAGATGTTATATCTTACGAGTGTGTACTTATATAGCACATGCTCAATTGCTTATTTTGTAATAAAGTAATATCAGGAGTTTTGTTTTGTAAAACAGATAGCACTATTTTTTATGAAAAAAGTAATGTTGTAAAACTAGTTGTCTACCCTTCTAGTAGAATAAATTTAAATGTAGTTGGCTACAGTGTGCTATAAATATACTTTGATTACTAATTGATTTGCATTTAAGAGATAAACAAAAAAAAAAAAAGAAAACAAATCTCAGATAATTTTATTATTTTGCCATTTATTTACCAGTCAAATTTGAAAGCTTCAACCAACTCATGTTTCCATTTCCCAGTCAACCTTAAAAAAAAACATTGTACCCACTCATTTTACTATTTAGGTGTACTGGGTTGGACCAATTTTAGGCGGGGTCGTGGCCGGAGTTCTCTACGAACATCTCTTTGCAATCAACGCCAGCCTGATGAAGGCCAAAGCATGTTTGCTCTCCAGTGATTACGATGATGACAAGTACAAGGCTCAACGGATTAAGGTAAGGCTGCACAATGTGAGATTATGGTAATCCTGCGCTGCACACCATTTTTAAATGATCTCTTTTCTGTTGGAGGGGGGTAGGGAGGAGCACATGAAACTTTTAGAGGTGAACAGTTGTAATATTCTATTTAAAAAAATGTTTCTTTTGTTTTATATGGTGGGGGGGGGGGGGTGGAGCAGTGTATATCTGGTAGGGTTGGGGGGGGGGGGCGGAAGTGCAGTATTTCCCTGGACAGTCTGAAAAGAAAAACTGAAAGCATAATAGTATAACTGATATAAAGATTCAAAGCAATCTTGTTTTTAGAAGGTAGGCTTGTAACTAATGGGTTAAGGTTGGCTTATAAACAACAGGCTATGGGTGGACTTGTAGCTAATGGGTTAAAGTTTGGCTTTAAACAAGTGTACTAGGTTAGACTTGTATATGTTTTATCTATTGTAGCCCTCAATGTACTATTATGTGTAACACTTTTCTACAGTAGATCCATGTATACTTTGCAGGCATGTTGCCAGCTTCATATTTTCTGTAAAGTTGATTGGTTATACTGCATCATGTGTCTTTGGCTGTCCTGCCTCTGCCAGCTGCTTCCTGGCAGTCCCCCATGACAGTCCTGTCTCTGCCAGCTGCTACCTAGCAGTCCCCCATGACAGTCCTGCCTCTGCCAGCTGCTACCTGGCAGTCCCCCATGACAGTCCTGTCTCTGCCAGCTCCTACCTAGCAGTCCCCCATGACAGTCCCCCATGTGCCTCCACATCTCCTACTTTCTTTTTCCTTGAAGCTTCTAATTTAAAACTATAAATAAACTCATGTTATAGGTGTATTGTGTGTGCAGCTCCTTTGTTCTAGACTTAACATTTGTTATGTACGAGTCTGTTATCACAAGGTAGACTTAATTAAAACATGTATCATTCAGGTGAGGGTTATTGAGGTAACAAGGTAGACTTAATTAAAACGTGTATCATTCATGTGAGGGTTATTGAGGTAACAAGGTAGACTTAATTAAAACGTGTATCATTCAGGTGAGATTATTGAGGTAACAAGGTAGACTTAATTAAAACGTGTATCATTCATGCGAGGATTAATGAGGTAACAAGGTAGACTTAATTAAAACGTGTATCATTCATGTGAGGGTTATTGAGGTAACAAGGTAGACTTAATTAAAACGTTTATCATTCAGGTGAGATTATTGAGGTAACAAGGTAGACTTAATTAAAACGTGTATCATTCATGTGAGGGTTATTGAGGTAACAAGGTAGACTTAATTAAAACGTTTATCATTCAGGTGAGATTATTGAGGTAACAAGGTAGACTTAATTAAAACGTGTATCATTCATGTGAGGGTTATTGAGGTAACAAGGTAGACTTAATTAAAACGTTTATCATTCAGGTGAGATTATTGAGGTAACAAGGTAGACTTAATTAAAACGTGTATCATTCATGTGAGGGTTATTGAGGTAACAAGGTAGACTTAATTAAAACGTTTATCATTCAGGTGAGATTATTGAGGTAACAAGGTAGACTTAATTAAAACGTGTATCATTCATGTGAGGGTTATTGAGGTAACAAGGTAGACTTAATTAAAACGTTTATCATTCAGGTGAGATTATTGAGGTAACAATGTAGACTTAATTAAAACGTGTATCATGCAGGTGAGGATTATTGAGGTAACAAGGTAGACTTAATTAAAACGTGTATCATTCATGTGAGGGTTATTGAGGTAACAAGGTAGACTTAATTAAAACGTTTATCATTCAGGTGAGATTATTGAGGTAACAAGGTAGACTTAATTAAAACGTGTATCATTCATGTGAGGGTTATTGAGGTAACAAGGTAGACTTAATTAAAACATGTATCATGCAGGTGAGATTATTGAGGTAACAAGGTAGACTTAATTAAAACGTGTATCATGCAGGTGAGGATTATTGAGGTAACAAGGTAGACTTAATTAAAACGTGTATCATGCAGGTGAGGATTATTGAGGTAACAATGTAGACTTAATTAAAACGTGTATCATGCAGGTGAGGATTATTGAGGTAACAAGGTAGACTTAATTAAAACGTGTATCATTCATGTGAGGGTTATTGAGGTAACAAGGTAGACTTAATTAAAACGTTTATCATTCAGGTGAGATTATTGAGGTAACAAGGTAGACTTAATTAAAACGTGTATCATTCATGTGAGGGTTATTGAGGTAACAAGGTAGACTTAATTAAAACATGTATCATGCAGGTGAGATTATTGAGGTAACAAGGTAGACTTAATTAAAACGTGTATCATGCAGGTGAGGATTATTGAGGTAACAAGGTAGACTTAATTAAAACGTGTATCATTCAGGTGTTGATTGTTGAGGTAACAAGGTAGACTAAATTAAAACGTGTATCATGCAGGTGAGGATTATTGAGGATCCTGATGAAGAGCAGGAGGAAGGCGAGGTTCTCCAGGAGAAGGAAAAGAAGTTTGGCTCCACCTCATCTACCTCTAGAATCTAAGTACAGGCCAAGATCAGCATTTCCAAACCCTTGCCATGTGTATAGCAATATAAGCAGAGAACATATGTGCCTCATTAGTCAAATTGGTAAACATTTAATTAATTAGTGTAGTAGTAAATGGATAATTAATTTAATTTTGCTATTTTCCTAACAAAATATTTATAACAATATTATTTATGTTTTGAATTAGGTTTTATTTAAGTATTTTTAAATATAGCTCTTTTTGCTAGTATTTCACATCAAAGAATACCAAAGCACTTGCTTAAAAAAGCAAGGTATTACTGTTTTATTTATTAGCTTAGAAGATGAGCAATAAAGAATGACAACATCATCCAATAAATTATTTCATGTGATTGATCTACTACCAAAGCTTTTTTACATCTAAATTTCATCTTTAATAATGCATGCATGTATTGTGTTTCAAACAATTTTAAAACTTGGCATTTAGCTTTAATTATGAATTGTCTTTAGACAATGGCTTATATGTCATTTATGACAATGAACATTTTAAAAAATGTACTTTGATAAATAATGTTTTCAAATGTTCAGTATTATGTGGAAGTACTAGTGCTAGTAGCTAGTCATCATCTGTTTCTCACTGTCCATGGATGGGATGAAATGTTTTTGTGGTACACACAAATTAGCCATTGTAAACATTCAGGGGAGGTGACTTGTAACATGGCCATCACATCACAAAATCCTGGACACTTATTTCCATATGGAAGATTTTTCACGTTTATCATTACTTTGTTCTGCACCCTGTTGTTTTAGTGTTGATTCAGTATACAGTACAATTGATAGTCTCAACTGTTACAATTGTCCGAGTAAATGTAACATGGATTATATATTATTAGAGCTCTTTTAAAGAGTGTTGAGTTTTTTTTGTTGTGATATGAAATCAGGAGAGACAACTGGGAAATAAAATTATTCTTGTTAATTTATGAATTATCTTTCTTACATTTAAACCCACACTTTGCCTTTCTTTTAAAGTTTTAATTCATTGTACCAAATTAAATCTGTTTTTATACAATTTTGAATCTGCTTTATGTATGTTTGATTTAGTACTTTGATGTTTAATGTGCAAAAGTAATTTAGAAGCCTCTAGAACTGAATTGAATATTGTGAGTGCAAATATACATGTCAATTTTTAACTAAATTAAATGTTGACAGAAACAGCATGAGTAAGAATTAGTTTTATAGACAATTTTATATATACATATATATCTTAATAATAATATTTTAAACTTGTGTGAAGTGGGATTAATTTTGCTGATTAAAACTGTATAATGAATGGCAACTAATCAATACAATGTTTTATATTAAAATGTTATAAAATATAGAAATTTTTAAAACCACACCTGTATATAGTGTGTTGGTGAAATGTATTACAAACAATATCTTATTATACATACATATTATATTTATACATTCATTCTTTTTTAAATAAGTACATACATGTATCATTGTATCTAACATTACTTAGATTTTATTTATACCGTAGTCAATAGGAAAAAGATATGCAAGATGTTCCTGTATTCAATTAACTTTTGTATTGAAACTGAGAAATGGAATGGCTGGCATTGCTTGTTCCCTGACACTAGGATTGCTTTGTAAAACTAAAATGGTGTGTCAATAGTTCAATATGGTGTGTCAATAGTACAATATGGTGTGGCAATAGTGGAATGTATTATGCCAATAGTGGAACATGATGTGCCAATAGAAGAATGATGTGCCAATAGTAGAATATGATGTGTCAGTAGTGGAATATAATGTGCCAATAGCGATGGGAGTTTGTTTGTCTTTGCATTGAAGGTGTTATAGAGAATGTTTGGCCATTTATAATGTTCTATGTATCTTGTCTGGTGCTAAAATGAAGCCTTCCATTTCTCAATTTTCGCCACCATTTCGTCTACCAATCACAGTGCATGACATTGCAACTCTATCCTTCCATTTTTTACACCAATCTATCAGCTGGCTTAGAACTTCCATTGCCAGATCAAAAACTGTACAACTACCACAAGCCATGACCTGCCACAACACACAGTGCCTTCTTGGTTAACTAACTTGTACTGCATTTGTTTTCCTTTCAACAATAGTTTGAGTTCTATGACTAGGGTGATATGTCCATGAAAATATTTTTTGTTATGGGAGTTTGTTTAGGCTCATCTGTCCATGAAAATATTCTTTTTATGTGTATATGTATAGGCCAATTTGTCCATGAAAATGTACTATTTTTTATGTGTGTATGACTAGGCCAATTAGACCATAAAAAGAACTGAGTGGGTGTTGCTTGGTTTAATGTTGTCTATCTAGCCATTATTTCACAAATATCCTATGTTAGAGGTGTTTTTATTTTAGTGAGTTCATTAGATAATCGGGGTACATGTTAATTTCCTGAACTAAACTAACTTTATTCTTTAAACTCAATTGAGGGTACACATTTATTCTTTTAAAACTAAATTCATGGTTGATTAATTTTCTTTAAACTCAATTGAGGGTAGACATTTATCCAGTGAGTTGGTCTGGGTTTAACTACAGAAAGCTGCCCAAAACAGTCGGGTGGAGAGGTGTAGCTGTAGCACTGTGCTCCTCTTGGAGTTACTTATCCAGTCCAATGTAGGCTCTCCCACACTACAAGTAGAACTGACCACATCTTTCTTTTGTAATATGCGTTGATCACATTCAATCTACCCAGTGGCGTAGCGAGAGGGGGCGGGGGTGCGGACCGCACCGGGTGACACCATTTGGGGGGGGGGGTGACACCAAGGCAAAAAGTAGCAAAATATATAGAGAAAAAGGATAATTCCACTTAATTAAGTGACTAATTCGAGTGTTTAAAAGTCTTTTAAGAGCAAATGTGACAGATCCCGACAAGGGTGGAAGGGGGGGGGGGTGCAAATTGAAAATTGAAAGTTTGTCCCCGGGCGCAGGGAAGGGTCGCTACGCCTCTGGGGGGTGACACCATTAAGTGCCGCACCGGGTAACACCCGACCTCGCTACGCCACTGAATCTACCACCATATTAATTATTGTTCATTGACCACTGTCCATTTACCTTGGGCCTCTCACATATTTTTTGCACTCTGATGTTACTAGGTGGCTACATATGATAAATGTTTCTCCTTAAAAAAAAACATCTAGGTATGAGATGCAGTTGTTCATGTTATCATTTGGCTGCTGGCTGCTAAGGCCTTAGCTCAATATTCTGCCCAACTTTTGCAAGACTTTTATTTTAAATTATTTTTTTGTCTACTATTTGTCTTTGCACATTTCATCATTCAAAGTGTAGTAGTTTATGTTATCTTTTATATGTAAATAAAAATCTGTTCGTTTTTTAAACCAGTTTTATTTGATCTTTTCTGAGATGAAAAATATTGTGTGATCTTCCGTCAAAAATAATTGTACAAAATAAAAACTCAACTGGAACTCCCACTAAGACACTTTAATCAAGTGAAACCTAAGCAAAGTGCAGTCCAGTCTCACTGATTAATTAATCTAAAATTAATTACAAACTTGCCGAGGCATATCTACTTTAAAAGCCTCTCATCCGTTGGGAGGTCTGCAGATCTAGTAGCCTACACCTGAGAATTTTAAAACTTCTAAATTCTCTCTCTAAGGCACCTCAGTGGTTTAAGAAGAGCGGCCATTAAACCCTAGCAATGAAAACTCCACAAAAATCTTTGGCGTAGAACGAGCACTTGGAATCAAAAAGAATCCCCCGCCATCTTGCGCGCTCTAATCAGTTTGATTAAAATATCAGAGGTGGACTCGTCAATGTGTGGGGAACTCTTCTTTTTAAAGGGGGAAGAAATTGACTCGGTGGTAGCGGTTTATGGGGAGAAAATTGTAGGTGATTCGTACTTCTATAGCAGTCTTACTTAGGTGTGATACTTTAATATCAGTACATTAGGTGTGATACTTCAATAGCAGTAGTACTTTAGGTGTGATACTTCAGTAGCAGTACATTAGGTGTGATACTTCAATAGCAGTAGTACATTAGGTGTGATACTTATATAGCAGTGGTACATTAGGTGTAATAGTTCTATAGCAGTCGTACTTTAGATGTGGTACTTCAATAGCAGCAACAACAGATTTAGGGGGGGGGGGGGGGTGGGAGTGTTTCCAGAAGTGATGTATAGACGTATAAAAGTTGAAAGGTCTAGATTCAGCTAGATATATGGCTTCGTACTGATGATTGTTTGATGCAGCTAGCGAGGCGACTTATACAGGCATCTAAAGACTCACAGAGCTAAAGATTGGTTGGTACCGCTAACTACACGTCAAGACATTGGTATAATAGGCCTTCAGTTAACCTCTGTCAGCGTTCAGCACAGACTCACCAATAAACCCAACATTGACGGCATGTTGTGAATCATCTTGTGATAAGCAAAATAGAAATTTGCTTAGATCAACAAAGCTTTATCTCTATAGCGTCACAAGTATAGGGGGGGTGGGGGGGGGGGGGGGTGGGGGTGGGTGGGTCGACAGCCGTCATAATAATCAAACCCCCTAGCCGGGACAGCAGTAATTTATCACAAATTATAATAAAAAAAATAAACCACAAACATTTTTACCTAACAATGACCTTTATCACCCTACCCATAAAACAGAATTCAGTTGATAAAACTACACCTACAAGTTTTATTACACGCACGGTATCTAATACACACCAACACACACACACCAACACACACTAACACACACACACCAACATACACTCCAACACACAAAAAATACGTAGAGGCGAAAAACCCATTCAACCTAACACTTGTAGGAAAAAAAAATCCGTTAAGAAATAATTTCATAAGGCAAGAACCAAATATTTGACCCAGAAAATTTTTCATACAATAACTACACTGTTCTATGCGAATATTTTTTTCTTCACTGGGTTCAGATAATATCGTTTCTCGTTTTTTTTTCTTTTTGTTGATTTTTTTTTAAATGCGTGTATCGTTAAACTGAAATTGCTTCGCGAAGAACGCTGAGTTTGAAAATAAGGTGTTTATTTTTAAAATCGCGAATAGTTGTGTTATCAGTTCTACTAGTCGTAGGACGCACTAAAATAAACATAGGACAGCGTGCAATAAAAACATACATGGGTGAGCGGAGTTTGGCTGTACTACCATCAGTTGGTGGTGCCATAATTGTGGTGCTTGTCTATTTCGTGTGGGAAGGTGTTGTGGTAGACTAAGGTACAGGTGTGGTAGAACATTAGCAGGTGTGGTGAGATGTTGGACGGACATTAGCAAGTGTGGTCAGATGTTGGACGGACATTAGCAAGTGTGGTCAGATGTTGGACGGACATTAGCAAGTGTGGTCAGATGTTGGACGGACATTAGCAAGTGTGGTCAGATGTTGGACGGACATTAGCAGGTGTGGTCAGATGTTGGACGGACATTAGTTGGTGTGGTCAGATGTTGGACGGACATTAGCAGGTGTGGTCAGATGTTGGACGGACATTAGCAGGTGTGGTGAGATGTTGGACGGACATTAGCAAGTGTGGTCAGATGTTGGACGGACATTAGCAGGTGTGGTGAGATGTTGGACGGACATTAGCAAGTGTGGTCAGATGTTGGACGGACATTAGCAGGTGTGGTCAGATGTTGGACGGACATTAGCAGGTGTGGTCAGATGTTGGACGGACATTAGCAGGTGTGGTCAGATGTTGGACGGACATTAGCAGGTGTGGTCAGATGTTGGACGGACATTAGCAGGTGTGGTGAGATGTTGGACGGACATTAGCAAGTGTGGTCAGATGTTGGACGGACATTAGCAAGTGTGGTCAGATGTTGGACGGACATTAGCAGGTGTGGTCAGATGTTGGACGGACATTAGCAGGTGTGGTCAGATGTTGGACGGACATTAGCAGGTGTGGTCAGATGTTGGACGGACATTAGCAGGTGTGGTCAGATGTTGGACGGACATTAGCAAGTGTGGTCAGATGTTGGACGGACATTAGCAGGTGTGGTCAGATGTTGGACGGACATTAATTGGTGTGGTCAGATGTTGGACGGACATTAGCAGGTGTGGTCAGATGTTGGACGGACATTAGCAGGTGTGGTCAGATGTTGGACGGACATTAGCAAGTGTGGTCAGATGTTGGACGGACATTAGCAGGTGTGGTCAGATGTTGGACGGACATTAGCAGGTGTGGTCAGATGTTGGACGGACATTAATTGGTGTGGTCAGATGTTGGACGGACATTAGCAAGTGTAGTCAGATGTTGGACGGACATTAGCAGGTGTGGTCAGATGTTGGACGGACATTAGCAAGTGTGGTCAGATGTTGGACGGACATTAGCAGGTGTGGTCAGATGTTGGACGGACATTAGCAGGTGTGGTCAGATGTTGGACGGACATTAGCAGGTGTGGTCAGATGTTGGACGGACATTAGCAAGTGTAGTCAGATGTTGGACGGACATTAGCAGTTGTGGTCAGATGTTGGACGGACATTAGCAGGTGTGGTGAGATGTTGGACGGACATTAGCAGGTGTGGTCAGATGTTGGACGGACATTAGCAGGTGTGGTGAGATGTTGGACGGACATTAGCAGGTGTGGTCAGATGTTGGACGGACATTAGCAGGTGTGGTCA